TCTAGAGCTTTACCAGCTGGCCATCTAGAGCTTTACCAGCTGGCCATCTAGAGCTTTACCTGCTGGCCATCTAGAGCTTTGTCAGCTGGCCATCTAGAGCTTTACCAGCTGGCCATCTAGAGCTTTGTCAGCTGGCCATCTAGAGCTTTACCAGCTGGCCATCTAGAGCTTTACCAGCTGGCCATCTAGAGCTTTACCAGCTGGCCATCTAGAGCTTTACCAGAAAAATAGCTCTCGCTTGATTGCCTACCATGTCAACGACACAACATTTTGATCCAGATGGTCATGCCGAGACTTAATCACGCTTACCTGTAACTAAATAATGCTCTTTCAATATATTGTTGCAGTCTTCAGTGCTTTATATTATACTATTAGCAACAAACTATCGGTGACAAGCTAGTATTTTTTGTAATGGACACAACTGAGAATAATCTCGAAATTATTCGAAAGACACATTAAATATTTTTATAACCATGAACGATGTTTTAAAAACAAATATAGTTCTAAAAATCTAACAGTTTGATTGATGTTGAACTTTACTAAAGATTGAAAGTAATTGATGCTTTTAGTATTTTCGGTAACAAATCAAAATTTAAAAATAAAACAAAAAAATTTAAATGTTGACATTTACCACATAAATGAAAAACGGAAATCGCTAAACATTCAAAATTGTATTGGCCAAGTGAGGTTTTTTGAATATCGATCACGGAGTTCATATTTTGCCGATTAATGTTTGTCTTACGAAAGTAAAACTTCAGGTGTTAACTTAGGCTTGATGAAAAATAATGATAGACAGATTATCACCTAGTTCGTGTCGTTTTGTGCCTTATATGTTTTGGAATCACTGACATATAATTAACTTGTTTAAAAACATTTTGTACTGACTATTTGTATTGTAGACCTATCAAAACTAACGTTCAATGTCAATGGACACAGCCTATATCCAGAATTGATCTATTACCACTCATACTAATTTAAATTATTATTCAAATCACACATCATAACACTGTTATCCACCTGTCCCCACTACAGATCTATCAGCCCTAACCTACATCATCAACGGCCGCACTCTACAGCCAGACTCGAATGTTTTTGAACTTCAGAACAACGAGAGTACAATCACGTTCTGTTGCCGAGATTTGCCGTCACCTTGTAGATCAAACATTAAACACCAACAAGAACTTGTGGCTTCTGGTGAACCTTGTGCTGTCTACAACATCAGCTCTACACATCAACAAAGGAGTTTCAATCTCACTTTGGCCTACGACATGTGTAAACAAACCAAAGAGATCAACGTCTTATTTCTTAACGGTGAGTAAGAAACTAACTCTACTGTAATTATTATTAGCTTAGAAACAGAAATGTAAACTAGATGCAATAGCAAATTATTGAAATAAATAACTGTTTATCTATTTAACACATCCACAAAACAAAACCGACTAACAATACTCGAAAACAATGGACTTTCCTTAACCCTCCCTCTCTCACTACTAATATGTTCACTAAAATCCAAGTGATCGATCCAAAAGACTTAACTAATAAAACTTGTGATTGGCAGTTTATGAGCTAGTCGGTGCTTGCTGGTTTGTAATCCGTACTTGCTGTTTTGTCATCCTTAGAGTAGTCAGGTTATGGCGGGGAAGGGCATAAAGTTACAGGTGAAAAAGCATATATGGACTATTAATGATAAAGCAACTGAAAAATCTTAGAATACTATTCAGCCGAATAAAGTCACAATAAAGCTCCCATTGAGAAGTCACTAAATATAATACTAATATTATAATGCAGTTGGTTTACGAAAATATAAAGATTTGGGCTTATATTTGTCATATAATTTTTATAACGATTTCAAATTATTATTAATGTTTATTTTACAATAAATATAATATATATATATATTTAAATATTTAAAGATTAACGTGGTCATCTTGCTGTAACAGCAACCAATTTAATTTAAACGTTTTCTGGGTCTTCTTAAACTATCAATTATTTTTTTCGCTATTGTCTAAATCGACCTTTGTCGCGTAGGTCATACGTCTTGATTCTATGTTGAGTGATGGTGCGGGTTCGTTCGTTATGGCTTGAGACTTTGGCTTAGTTATTTTCAAGTTGGCTATGTCAAAGTTCAATTCATTTAATTCGTATTTCCTTATTGGGGTTAAACAGGGTACATAACTTGTGTGACACTATTTCCTGTAACTTTGTTCCCTGACCTACAATTTCCTGTACTCACTGACTAACCACTGTATGTGAAGTGGTTTTCTGACGTTTTTCTCTCATTGTTTTAATGTAAAGCAGCGACAGTGTGAAGAACAATACACATTTATATGTCTATTTGCCAATGTGTATCAAGTAGCAGCCAAATCTCGCACACATCCTCATCAATTATTAATTAATTCAAATTACTTCTCTTATTTTCTCTCTATACTTAACCAGCTTGTTGCATTAAATATAAATTAATCAAGGGACGACCCAATAGTAACGCAAAAACGTGACTAGCTGTATTAACCTTTTTAACTAGTTAAACAAATTGTCTAAAGACAAGATGGAATAAATATATTTACTATTAATACACTATATGAATATTGCTTATTAACTGTTGTTGTTTTAAGGATATTATTTTCAAGGCAACAAAACTACAAAATGGATCAGTTTTTACTTGATGATAATCGTTGTAGCAAGTATTGTGGGTTTGACTATTTCAGTCACAGTATGTTACTATTTACGAGGTAAATTTTTAAAACGTCTTATGTAATGCATTATTAAATATCCATATGTAGCAAATATTATGATGTTTAAAATTGTGTTTATATATATATATATATATATATATATATATATATATATATATATATATATATATATATATATATAATTCTCTTCTTGGAGACCTTAGAAAACACTAAGCTGTAAGCGCGTCTAGCAGTCCCCTCTCTTCCTCTCTAGGCATATCGCTACCACCCCAATCCATACATGGTATGATGAGCTGTAGTTCACGCTAAATGTTTACTATCGTTTACAATCGTAGAGACGGGCTTAGTGACGGCTATTAGGGGAAGATAATTTAGTTTGAAACTATTTTAAACTTAGGGGAGGTAACTAAGAGGAGGCAGCTTTCACGAGGGGTTGGGGTAGGGGGGTGAGGTAGGGGTTGGGGGAAAGGAGGGTTTTAGTGTTTTAAATCAAATATTTTAAGTGGCAGCATTGGTACTGTCGAATTCACAAAGTAGAAAATAAAACAACTAAATAGCGGCGTATCAGAACGCCGAGGGTCGGCTCGTATATATGTAATTCTCTTCATGGAGACCATAGAAAACATCACGCAGACCTCATCCCCACCTGTCAGATGAGCTGTTGTTCACACCGAATGTTTACAATCGTAGAGCCGGTTCGAATAAGTGAGGGCTATTAGGGGCAGATAATTTAATTTTTAAACCATTTAAAACTAAAGGGAGATAATAAGTTCTGCTTGATTTTTCATTGACGTCTGTAAACAGCTGCTTTTACTGGCGGGGTGGGGTAGGGGAGGCAGGGGGTGGGGTAGTGTCGAATTTACAAATTATGAATTGTTGATAAGCATAATATAAAACAACTAGATAGCGGCGTATGCTACGTCACGGGTCAGCTCATATATATATATATATATATATATATATATATATATATGACTTAAGTATTTTCTAATTAATCAAACTATTAAGGCTGTGTGTTTATAATATTTATAATATGAACTGTAATGATAAGCTCTTTTTTTTACGTATTTATCATGTTTTAGCTAAATTATATCATAATGCACGTAATCAAACAGACCATTTCACACTGAGTGAAGTAGTAGAAAATGTAAACATATATGAATCAAGTAGAGGACAATATCCAGCAGGGACAACACCAAGTGAAACTATGTATGAAATCATCATACACGAGCAGCATTCATCATCAGGAGAACTACCATTGCGTTTCGTAGAAACTAACGTTGAAAACTAGATTTTGTATAGTCTACAATGGCATATACCCCACGCTGCCTAAGTTATCGCTGTTTAATACAATTTACATTGATGTAACTATTTGTAAATAGAACTGCATGTGGATTTTTAAAGAAAGTATCAAAATACAATTACATTGTTCGATTTATTAATGTTTTAAAATTTGAAAGCTACATAACAAAAGAAACCTTAATCTAACGTTAATCATGCCTAAAATTGTATTTGTTGTTTCTCTGCATACATTTGAGAAGAATCTTACTTGATATCCATCACCTTCCTTGGCTTAAGCCCTCTATATTTTCCTCATCATCTTCACAACCCCATCACTATTCGCGTACGTTCCGCTACTGCTTTCGGTGCCCTGTGCTATAATCACCAGCTGATTTCACAAGTAAGCCATCTTGAAGGTACCCACCTTTGGTCTTATCACCAGATGTCTTTGTGCTGCCATTTTTTCCTCTTGTATTATCAGATCCATCTTAGTGTCACGGTCGACTAGACCCATTTCATAATACTGCACCTACGTGTTCCATTTATTTTGCTTTATGCTAATAAATAACAAATAAAAACTGTTTTGCTGTGTTGTTACTGTATTTTTTAATATGCCTCTTTAAACCATTACTTATTAGACTATACTGTGTTTACAATGTGTTTACATTTACAGTTTGTTATAGATTTTCATTTTTATAAAGTTTATTAGTAGTTTATTATCATTTGTTTTTAGGTACAATATGGTTAATTATTAACGATTTGCACAAAGACACGAATAGCTTAATAGCCCTAAGAATTAGAGTGGGAACCCAGCCCCCTCTCCCCCCAATTATATTTGTTTAACTGCAGTGCATTATCTTTATGCATTGGGAATAGGTGTTTATAGAAACATTCTAAAGAGTTACATAGGGTTTGAAAAGTGTATAACATATGTGCAGCATTTATGAAAAAAATACGATAACATTTTAAAATACAAATCGAGAAGCAAAAAGTAGTATTTTTCAGCATTTGTTTATTTATATACATTAAGTAAAAAAAGTAAACACATTTTAAACATTTTGATTGACAATATAGTAGCATTACTTTACCTTGGTCATTTACTCACGACTTTAGACAGTCTCATTTTTAAATTGCTGTCCAGCAAATTTTCCTTGTCTTTAATTACAGACATTACGTACCAATCATGGAAGTTTTGGTAACTTGTTTTAAAAGACGGCATTAATATTTCTTTACTTCTTCTCATTGGCTCAGCTACAGAATAGATGTTTCGAAAACATTCAATTAAATGTGTTACGTCTTCGATGACACTTTTGTCCATCTTTAGTGTGTGATTGCTATCTGCAGTTAATTTATCACCTTTCTCGTAGTATTCGTGGTATTTGTTCCACACATTTTCAAGATGATCAACCAGCTCTTTATTTTTGCCGTGCAAATTTTGCGACTCGTCCAAAACTGTTTCGAGCAGTAAACAAATGTTTTGTAATATTTTTTCCGATTCGCCGTATTGCAGCGACCGTTGGGTTTTGATACGTAGCAGTTGATTGTTGGAATTATATTCCATCTGACTGACAAGAGAAATCAACGATTTAACTTCCTCGGTGTGGTTCTCGATGTCGTACATCAACATTCTCTCTCCACATACACTTTTAACTGTCGCATAATCAGTTTTTATTTCCTTCCCAATTTTCAATTCAGTTTCGTATATGATGACTGAAATGACATTATTTACGTCGAATCCGAAAGAGTCATGCAGAATTTTAATAACAGAATTACAATCATTAGCTCTGTCATTTGTAAATGCTACGATTATTGCTTTAAATTCCTCATTACTTAAAGTAATACAAGCTTTCATGTCTTCAATAAATGTGTTAATGTTATTTGTATCATACACTGGTCCGTCCACTAGTTTAATAACGTGATTGTCATACTTGGTGAAGTGTAACTGTATTTTCTCCTCATCTGGTAGTTTAATTTGGTTGAAAACTAATTTCCAATTTCGTCCTATTTCAAACAAATCTTTCTTAGTTTTTAAGTCAACAATAGTTTTCTTGGTCTCTGTTTTTTCAAGACAATATTCTCTTTGAAGCATTGATCTCTTCAACAGATCTTTATTGCTATTTCGTGTACCAATCAGTAATACCGAAGATGTAGTCATAAGGTGAATTTTATCCACAATTCTGAAATAAAGTTTTTGATCTTGAAATTAAATATTTTAACTTAAGTTTAAAACACAAATAGTAGATATTGTCAAAAAGGTAAGTAATGAAAGTTTATCCAGTGCAGTAAAAGGAGCTTCTATTAAAATAATTCAATAAGTAAATATCGGAATTAAATGATTCAGTGACTCTTCAATTATAACAGTCATTTGGTTAGTTCCACAACACAAAGTGTTCATCAAACAAGTACATTAAAAACGTGTGATAAATCATCAGCGTGCTTGTTAAAGCTGACTAGAAATAGAAAGTTAAAATTATAAAGGCAAAGTTAGTCAAAATCTTACTTTGGTTTCATACTCTGGGCGCTAGCTCCTTCTAGCAAGTTAGGGTACATTTTTGCTATAAATGTAACAAAGTAAAGTTATAAAAAAGTAAGTTGCTTTTTTGATTTATAACTGATGGCTGTACATACATTTTTCTATACGCATTGATTCTTTATTTTGAAAAAAATAATTTTATTTGAAGGCTCTCTATTATATTACATTATTAAAGATATGCAGGCCTTAGGTCTAGACTAGTCCTGCTCAGTTTCTAACATTTAGGTTTAAATATAATTTTGGTGATTATATAAGTTGGGAACAAAAAAACAAACTAAAATCTACATTGTTTGCGTTACTATTGTAAAGGTAATCAGATATTAATAATATAAAAATTTATTGTTAGAAAATGAGAAAATGTCTTAGTAGTAAAAGATGTAAATTGTGATCATTAATAAATAAAGAACTACAAATTAACGTTTAAAACTCGTGATTACCTGTTAAAGACTGTTGGGTTGTCCTGAAAGTAAAGATTTTCGCTTGTATTTTTATATTTCTTTATAAAACTTCATCGTTTTAAAGAAACTTTTAAAAATATATCCAGTCAATGACAAAATAAAAATAATATTGTACCTACTCTTGGTTAAGCAAGCAAGCTGTAAAATCTTCTTTTTCTGAAGTGTCAATGGCTACTAACGAAAAATCGAAAGCAGATTCTCCAATGGGATTTTGGTGAATATCTCTGTAATTTGTTTTCCTAAAAAAATGTTTTAGCATAAAATTCACATAATAATGAATACAAAGACAGTTATTAATAATATATCCGTACAGGTACAGCAAGAAATAATATAGATGTAATAAAAATAGATGTAAATATATGTATGCTCACCGAAGCATAAATACCATATCTCTTAACAGCCTACCTGTTAAATATAGATATATAAAAAACATTAAACATTGATAATTATAAATATAAGTTTTTCCGCCAAAAATTTCGCATTAAGTTTTCGGTAAAAGATTTACTGGCAAATTAAAAAGGTTGCTAAGAGTAAAATGATCCTATTTCAAATGATAAGTCGTTATTAAACGAGTTCTTCAACTGTGGTTAAATTATTAATTGAAATAAAATAAATAAGGAGTATAAGAAAAAATACAAAGTATAATAGTTATGATTTAAAACTACACTTTATTTGAAAAATTATTGTGTAACAGTCTTACATCTGTTTGTATAAAAGAAGAAGAGTATCAACGTCGTTATGGTCATTACCACACAAACAAGAGCAAGAACAATAACTGCACTGTTGTCACAATATATGCGACCTAAAAGGAACATGAAATTTAAAAAATTAAAATGTTTAAGTAATATATATATATATATATATATATATATATATATATATATATATATATATATATATATATATATATATATGTGTGTGTGTGTGTGTGTGTGTGTGTGTGTTTACAAAAATAATTCGAAGCACTCACTTTCTCCATTTATAGAATACCTTGTTGGTTTGCATGACATTTCTTCTTCTGCGTGTTTAAAAGAAAAGACATTTAACAGTTTATTTAGGTATTTCAATCTTAATGCCTACAAATATGCTTTCTTCTGAGATATTACTAGTTATTATAAAATGTTATCCATGAATTTACTATAGTTAATCACTTGGGTGTCGTCGAAAATCTATGTTCGATAATGGAAATTCATATTTTAATAATTATCAATAGTTATTCTCGAATTTATATAACATTTATTCGTAATACTCCAAACATTAATTTACAGCACAGCTTTCCAAATTATTTGTATTATAATTTTTAATTTCTGGCATTTTATTTGTAATTTCATCAACAAAATCCACTAACACTGGAAAACTTGGGCTCTATGACTGGGATCTAGAAGAAATGCCCACATCACACACAACTAAACCACACAAGATTAAGTTACAGTTTTATTTTCTGAATTGTAATTAACAATGGAAGTAAAAAATCACCTGTGGCGTATTGGTTGTTGAAAACGTCCTTGTTTGTGTAGTCAATCCTGTTATTGTGAATGTAATTATCAACAATTGATACGCCTTTATCCAATCCCCTACAACTGCAATTTATTCGTTTTTCTCTTAAACTGCATTCCTTCAGGACAACATATGCGGGTTCTTCGAGAAAGATTAGTAATAGATTAACTGTGAAAATCATTTTAATGCCTACGACGTTTTAATTTTTAAAAATAAAATGAAAAATGCGTTTACATTTTCTAAGTTAAAGTTAAAAAAAATGTATTTAATGCAGGATAAAAGTGAACTGGTTATTAAAAAAAAGATTGAATTTTTTACAGTATATCTAATAAATAAAATATCGGGAATATTGTCTAAGAATTAAACTAAAACTTCGTATTGTAATAATAATTCCAAATTCCGTATATTTCACTTCAATCATAATAGTGTGAAACTTAAAACATATAAAGACAGATTGCTTGAGAAAGCGTGAAATTTTTCAAATTATTCTATCAATTTTATTACCATTCAATTGTAACTATCACTTGCCTGCATGCAACGATGCTGTGGTATTGACGCCGGATTGCATATTTATAGACGCAGCAATGATGTTAGGATAAATAAAGAAATTGAAGTAATCCGCTACCACGTGTAATTGTTGATGGAGAAATTGTGTATTACAATTAGCTTTATAATAAACAGGTTCCTCATTGAGTTTGGTGTTCGTGCATGAAATGGGACCAAAGTGAGTGTTTGTTTTGTTGACAATCATCTGTGAACAATTTTTAATGTCTTGTTTATGGAATAATACATATCACTTTTGTTTTTCTAAAATGAATTTAACACTGTACTCAAAATAAGTAACTATCTGAAAACCACTAAAAAATATTACGAAAATAAACACATGATAATATAAACTGTAAAACATTGTGTTTATAAACTTATTATAATATATATATATATATATATATATATATATATATATATATATATATATATATATATATATATATATATATATATATATATATATATATATATATATATATATATATGTATATATATTTAAATGTATAATAGTTATATTTACCATGGCCTCAGGATAGATACGTGTAACACTACATGTAATGTCTAAAGTGTCGATGGACCAAACAAAATCACAGAACACATCTTTCGGTTTCGCTGTGATTGCAAATAAGATGAACATTAATCTGTATTATGTCAGTATTATAACTTAAAATGGTTGTTCCCTCCCATCTCTTTAAACACATAATAATTTTATGTAGGTTTATATACACGTGTGAATAACAAAACGAACATAATTCAATTCACAATCAAAACATTAATGTCAAAATGAAATGTTTTGTCATTATTAACACATTATTAATACAACAGGCCCAATTTATGTACTACTGATATAAAAATATCACAGAGAACGCAATAAAATAGCTCATTTCAAATAACTTCAAAGACGGATATTTGAATGGAAACATAAGTTGATTTATGAGCAGCTATCTTTTTGTTTTACAATAGAATACCTTAGTCTTTAAATATTGAGAAAGAACAAAAGAAGACAGTATAATTTGTTTTACAATACTCCCAGGCAACTTTAAGTAAGACATGCTTATGTATAAACCTCAAGTTTGACATTGCACTATGTAGAATAAAGAAATATTAATCAACATAGAGCAATGAACACTTACCGTATACTTGTAAGCTGCAATGATAGAAAACTTCAACATTAGGGCTTGATGTATGTGTTCTCAACTTCCATACCCCTGCAGGGTTAGTGGGAATCCTTCTAGAGACATTATGTATGTGTATGTGAAACGTTAACATATCGTTTATCTGTTCTACTCTAGCCGACAACCAGTAGACATCATTGATCACACATTCCCCATTCAGAACTGGACATTCAGCGACTAGGATGTCGTCTTTTGTCCACATGACCATGGTCGTTTCCTTTTTTAAATTGACCGTCGAATACTTAAGGTCATAAGACATTCCCTCCTCGGCAGGTGGACAAGATAAGATACCTTCATTAGAATTCAATACATTTAGCATCGAGACATTTAATACAACAAATTAATTTTTGCATTGCAAATATGATTTAAGTTAAGGTTGCTTAGTGTATTTTCTAAGCTACAGTTACAATGCAGAAGAAACTTCTCGGGCAGGCAAAAATACTTTGCTAAGATAATCGGCCATAAATGAAACAGAAATTTTTATTATCTTAAACAAGAAAATGGAGCAGATTAAATTTGGCCAAGAGGCGTAGGAGAATTTTATAAATTGAATAACTTATTTTAAAAGACAACTATAATGTTTATTAACTTTGCAAATACTCTAACATTCTATGCAACGTGTTTTCTTGAGGAGCTTTTTCTTATAATAGGTAGAAGTATAATTTCGTTATCTACAAACTATAATTTTGATTATATAAAATCTTAGGTCTTCTGATTACAGTTTTATAAGCAGAAACGATACATTTCCTTTTGTTTATATGTTTCTATAAGTAAGTACTGCCTAAGACAGAGCATAATTACTTGCCCGATTAGCATTCCTCCATTGTGCTAAGCCATCTCAAAATTTATTATAAAATATTACCTGGTATAACAAAAATAAGCACGTGGGTGAAAAGAAAAATGGTTGTTTCCATAGTTCCCATTCTAGATTTGAGCTGATATACTGGTATGTAAAAAACATGTATATTAAAACAATAGAAGTGATGAGGTTTTTACATTTGGCAATGTTTAGTGTGTTCGAAAGAAATTGAAATTGTATGCTTAATCAATGTTTTAAGAACCTTTTTTAAAAAGTTAAATATGGCTTTAAACTTGTTATTACGATCATTTGGTTTTGAATTATTTTACGTGAAAATATGTTTGTTATAGCTAAAACTTAACATTTGGCGTATGTTTGAGTTAGGGCTTTTATTTCGTGAAGTGCAATATATTTGCAGTATTTGTTATGTGCATGTCGTTTTGGTTCATTTATTTTGCGCAGAAAAAGTATTCTAGATATATTTTGTATATTTTCTTTGTATGTGCAATGTTACATTAACTTTGTAACGTATGGCTAAAGTAGGATAAAGCCTAGACTTGATGTAAGCGGTTTTTTTAAATCAATAATTTTTTAAAAGTGTGTTGTCCTGGAAATTTCAAATGTCCTTTTACTTATCAGGTTTATTTGGCAGTAGTTAACTTTTTCATTTCGATGAAGATGGCTATTGTGACTGTTAAAATTGGAGTTTAAGTAAACGTTTCCTCCATTTTCGATGATTATGACAGTGAGAGGGCAACAACGTAGAAAAAAAAACATTTCTCACAGCCATGTTGTTTATTCGCTATACAATGTTTATGCTAAAGTTAGAAATTAGATTAGAGCATAGAGCACAAATTCTGCATAGTTTCTACAATCTTTTATAACAAGGTTTATTTAATTTGATTCCTGTTTTAAATTTTAAAAGTGGGCCAAAGTGCGTGCGTTTTTAGCTATGCGATTAGCTTCTATTAAAATTTTAAAAGTATGTAATTAAAGAAAAATATTTATACTGGAATGCTTTTTCATACCAATCAATAATTTCTATAATACTGCACCAATACATTAAATCACCATAAAGAAAATAGTAGACATCTGTTTTATGGATAGAATACCATACTCAAATTTTTATAAGCGACTCACACTTTGCTTAATATTCATTTAATATGATTATATCATTATAATTTTTAAGAAAAAACTTTTTTATATTTTCATTTTATGTCTATATAAAGCTTGTTATTATAAACTATCTTTATTATTACTTTTTTTAAATTCAAAATCGTGGGTTTTGTGTGTATTATTATAGTTTCCTACTAAGGTTAATTTAGTAACATTTCACCATGTGCACTCCATTTCAAGATTAATTAACGATATTTGTGCGCCCTAATTCTGACCCTGAAGTGGCAATACGATTTTGAGTCGGACAATTTACACACGATGTTGCCAGTTATTTGATTATCTACTACAATAGTGGTAATTCCTGCCAAAGTGTATAGCTCTTCGTAGTTTTATATTGATGTGGGGGAAGTCGTTTTTCAGGAAAGGGTAACATGATAAATGTATACACTTCCATTGGCATATCACACAACATATAATAAAAGTTCCCGCAAGCCACTAGTCGAACTACACATGTGTGTATGAACAGTTTAGACGTGTCGACTTCGTTGTATTGAATAGAGGATGTGAATCAAGCGGGAAGGGCGAAGCGTCTAAATTGTGTAAAAAATGGGGAAGTTACACAGGGGTACAGGCGATAGCTGAAAGAGTGCGTTGTTACATATTGAGATGAAGTTGCTATAAACTATTAAGTTTGGTGATGCCACCCAAAAAAAACTCCCCGAAACTTCATAAGACTTTTTAAACGGACACATAATCTTATATGTATATATATATATATATATATATATATATATATATATATATATATATATATATATATATATTATACACACAAACAAATATAAATATATATATATATATATATATATATAATATATATATTATATATATATATATATATATATATATATATATATATATATATATATATATATATATATTATATACACACAAACACAAACACATATATAAACCACAATTATGTATAAATATATATATATACTCTATGTATATATATATATATATATATATATATATATATATATATATATATATATATATATATATATATATATATATAAATAAATATATATATATATATTTATAAATATAAATGTAAATATATATCCTAACTGCGCCAATTATGTCTCTAATTCAAATGACATGCCCATTAACATGATTTAAATAGTTTCACTAGCCCAAACCCAAATACTGATCAATTATACAGCGTGCATTGTTTTAACGAAAACATTAATTTAACGAGAAAAATGGCCCGTTGAGGGTGAGATACAACGGGCGCTAGGTTGATAATATTGTCTTTTCCTCTAAATCGGAACTAAAAACAAAATCACCACTTCAAATTTAGTTTTAACCGGAAACGAAAAATGTAATTGAAAACGGATTTCTGACCAGAATCGGCATTATAATCGGAATTAAGCTTGATCTACGAGTAGTTACTGCATATTGATACAAAACATAGTGGAAGTCATACCACTAAACCTTGCACCTAATCTCAAACACGACAGAGGTCGCATTTAAGGGGGGGGGGGGCTTCGCCCCGCGCCCCCCCCCCCACCAGACACACCCTAATGCACGTTTACCGTCTCATTCAACGAAATATACTTTTTTATAGAAAAAATATTTATCTGTGTCCGTCCCCCTTCCAAAAAAAAATTTAGTCCACCGTCACCCCCGAAAATTTCAAGAGCCCCCCCCCCTCTCTCTCTGGGAAGGAATAACTCTGAAAGAACACTGGTCGCATTTGTAGCTCATACAAACTAAAGGTAAAGCCTACTTCTATAATATAGACCTGTTTCCTACTTTCGACCTATACATTTTACTCACGGAGACAGTGTTCGTTTCAGGCTTTTTTTCTGGGGGTGATGGCACTTGAATTTTTGCAGGGGCGAATAAATTTCGACGGGTGCGGGGAGGACGACACTGGTAAAAGTATATATTTTCTATATACATTATATTACGCCTTTTTTTGGGGGGGGGGTGGGGATTAGACGTTTTGGCGTCTGAGGGGGGGGGGGGGGAATAGACGTTCTACCGTGGGGGGTGGGGGGGGGGGGGAAGGGGCTTAGCCCCTAACAGAAGAGAAACTCTTCACGCAAAACACTTATAACATTAGACACATAATTTAGGCTGTAATGTCAGTATTTTTATTATGGAGTCTCGATGACGACATTTATTTGAAGGGGGGGGGGGGGGGGTCGGCATAGACGATCTACTGGGAGTGGGGCTTCTCCCCTACCCGATGAGATGCATGTGCACTCTCCAGCTTGATACTGTTTTCTACTATATGCTCCATGTGACGCCATGTTTCGTTTTCGTTTTACTATGAAAGTTTTTATTTTGCTTGTGTTTTCTATATAGCGTTCAAGGTGATTGGTGATAGTGCTGATCACATTAACTTTTTATACGCCGAGTTCACAGAAAGAGATGAACTCTGCTTCATCTGCCCCGTAGACCGCCAGTTTCAAAGGGTAACACAGTATAGTGCGCAATAGCCATGTGACAGCCCACACGGTCAACAACACCTTGAAGGACGTGTAGCAACACAGGCGGGATATCATTAGCGTAACTATACTAGTCTATTTATAAACGGCTTTGTAAAGGCATGCTGTAATTATATTTATAACCTACGTTAAATAAAACATGTGTAAGTGACTAATATCAACAAAGAAGTTACAACTTACATTTCAATAAAGAAAAAAGATTGGCTTGATGCCAGCCAAAGTCGCGTATACTATAACTGCGTTAACACGCGTTATACGATCCAATAAAAGCTTAACTAGGTCAAGTTTTTGTTCATTCTATATGGCAGGTTGCTTCTAAAATAACACCTCATGGATCTCCCGTATTTCACCCTATACCCCCACCTCCCGCTTTACACACGCACATAAAATACTTGGTCTGGTATTGATAACTTGTAAGGTTGGGGTTGGCGGGGGGGGGGGGGGGGGGGTTATTCATTAAATGATACGGGTGTCTGACAATGTTGCCGAATAGCTAGCGGGCACTTATGAGGTTAGTCAGAGCTAAACTAACGGCAAGTTTCGCTACAATGAAATTGGTGTGGTGTGGTGATGTAATGTGTATGAAAGGTGTGTACGTGGGACGGATCACTGCGTGTGTGCATATATCCTGTAGCGAGACTCGAGGCCGGGGTGTTGACGTGTATGTTGTTGTACGGAGGGTACAAGAAAAGCGACTGGTCGAGTGGCAGCGGTTGTGTTGTGAGCGGGAGAAAGGAGGTGTGAATGAATGAACGCGGGGGACAGTTGGAGGAAGGGCTGGAAAGGTGGAATGTTGATGTTTAAATGAGGACGAGAAAGTAAGGTGATTAAACCATCTTGTATTGCCTAACTGCAAATAGTTTTTGTTGGTGTGTTCATACACCTTGTTACACGAGATTCCTGACCCCTTCGCAGTGTGGCATGTGCGATTATTTAGTCTTTTCCCTATCTTTTGGTAAAATATAATTTTAAAACTTTCAATAGTAAGTCGATATAAAAGCATTTAATAACAATCTATTTTTTTCCAATTCTTCCGTCCTTAATGATCTCTAAACACACAAGACCTAAAACAATCTGTAACAATCTCTACACGACATATATCTGCCCCATCCGTGTTCGGCTCTCAAGCGTGAAGACATATCACTTGACACTTGGTGGATGTTGGCGCTTCGCAATTAATCGAGTTATCTCCCATTTTGATGCTGAATATTGCAATATTAAGATTAATTTTTAATAACTAATTTAATTTTTAATTAGGTTGGAATAAAAAGGTTGACACACTAAAAAAAAAGAAATTTAAATAACGTATATAATGCACTCTTAAAATAGCAATAAAGAAGAGCCTGGATAACGTACACATTTTTAGTAAGGGTATTAAATGCATAATATAGCAAACAACATTTTCACAGTTTTTAAAATAGCAGTACATTTATTTTCTTTTTGTTTCATCCACATTATTTGCCTTATTGGATGAATGTATGGTTAGAGTTTGCACGAAATGCTGCATCAGAAATGGGCTAAAATTAAGTTACAAGATTTGCCACAAATACACAAACATACAGAGATGGTGTACCAAACAAAAGCTTTTTGTGAAACAGGTTTATTTATTTAGTTGATGGAATTCAATAAATAGCCGTTAACTGGTGAACTATATGGGGCTAGCTAGATATGATGGGCTATGCTGATTATCATAACATAATATTGACTAACAGCAAACAGTGATACAAAATATAAATACACAAATGGGGCGGTAACCATAGCGTATCTTCTAAGAATCAACTTTTATAAGAATAAATCAACATCACCAGGTTGACGCTAAAACAATGTTCAGGCGTGTTGCTCGCCATTATTTACAAACATATTGTTGTGATAGACATGGATACCTTTACAATGTAAACATAACACTGAACTATAAACTCCAAATCAACGCAGAACATTGGCTGTCCAATAAAACGTGATATCGTTAACTCGAATCTGCGAACATCAAGAAAATAGAGTTAGCTAGAGAGTATGTCCTAGCACACGGGAGATTAGTTGTTAATCACCTATTACCAGCAGAACTTACAAACATTAAAAGAGGGAAAAAATTTACACTCTAAAGTTGGCATATATTTTTAAAAAGACACTATGTTAACTTTTTACTAAAAGCTTGAGCTTGTTTCAATTATTTATTTGACAATTTTTCACCCAGCCCTCCCTCTGAGTCAAGTATAACAAAACAGTTTAAAATTTTAAATACAAAGTTCAAGAAATCATTAACGTGAAGCGGAAATGCGAATACACTAAACAGAGAGAGTGAAAGAATCTTTACAGATACCAAATTCAATTTCTTAGGATTTACAAGAGAATGAAAATATGTTTAAGTGTTTTTAAAACCTGCTATAAGCCGAGTGAGGAGTCAATGATAACCAAAAAATGGAGAAAATATTTTCCTAGATATATAAAAACGTTTAAATATGATCTTACTTAATATTGGAATAAAAATTCTATCAACTTCTCTGTCTTCATCAATTTCCCTATCCATCTCTACATCTCTTCCTATCAATATATTTTTCTTTATCTATGTTTTTTCTTCGTTCTCAATATTTCTTACCCTTTATATATCTTCTGTTTTAATTTTTCCTGTCTTTATTTCTCCTAATTGTTTAATCTACTTATCGTCTTCAATATGCTTTGATTAAACACGATATAAATGAGTAATGTTTTGCTTCAGTTAGTAACGTAATATAGTTCAAACACTTTACAAACTGTGCTCAATGTTTTACTTTCATTGATGATGTTCTTAATTAAAATTTAAAAAAAAACGATTTATTTTCCAGTATTTTAATCTAGATACATTACTTTTTACTTCGAAAAATGATTTCTGTTCATGCTAAATAAAAAGTATAATCTGTATGTTTACAGTAACATATAAGTACCAAATGAGAACAATTTTAAAAAATCACTTGTGAATGTTTTCTTTAAAAATATGAATCAATTTACTTCCTGATAAACATTTTCTGAAACGTCTCAGCTGCGATGTAACTTAAACACCAACAAGGCATTTAATTTTATCGCGATTCAATACAAACATTTTTGAAATTATTTATAGCAGCGTAAATAAGACTTTTTAAATTGAATATTGTTGTGTGAATATATTTGTAAAAATTACTTTAAAAAGATGAAGATGATTTTAACATCATCAATTGCTTTTATGTATATCTATTGTCACTGTAAGTTATATTCATAAATGTAGACATTGTGATATAATAATAGTGAAAGTTAAGAATAGAAATTCAGCTTAACTTTATGCTCAGTAAAAATATTATGAAACTTTAATGCACAGTGCAATATGTACATTACAATACGTGAACACGTAATTACACAACCTGCTGAATATCGTTTGTAATTCATACTTTTATGTTTTAGGCTACCACTGTAATGTTATATCCCTATCTGCACTCGACAACTCGACCTGTACAGGTGTGATAAAGATCAATGCTAAAGTAAAATTTTATGCAGTTGTAGATTTTTCATCTTGGCATAACAGCTGGTCAAAGTCTGTGCAGTTTGAATTTAAACCAACAAGTGCTGCAACGTTTACACATGTAAGGATAAACAATCGGTTATTATCAATATTATTAAGGTGAATATGTTAAAATTGATAATTTAAATTAATTTTAACGCATCAACTTAAATAATTAAACTTTTGTTTCTGTTTATTTCTATATTATTACGGCGATACACTGATACGGAATGATGAAATTAAATTGATTTTTAATCTGGCAATGGGTTTACCGTAGTATTTACATAATCTTTGGATTATAAACAAAATGCATTTTGCGAAATACTTCAGATTGATCTTCCATACATTAAAATGAAATGCAGCAATAAACAGAACATGGGTAATGAGAGATGACTTAGATAATTGACATGTAACACAGAATATCATCTAGTTATGTATATTTTAGAGTTGCTTTGTGACGATATAAATGTTAATGTTGTCGAGTCTAACTTTAAAAAAAATCAACATCGGCAGCTTTGTGTGGTCAACATACACAATACAACGTGCAGCTACACAAGTCAATTGATGTGCTACTGCTCTCACAACACACAAGAAATCTATCACATTGTAATCAACGCCCCACTGTATGAGAAGAACAGCAGAGCAGAGATTCGTGGTTATGTAAAACACACAGACGATCAAAGTTGGTATAGTGAAGTAAAGAGATATCCAACATTTTACAGTAAGTACATATTCTGTTGTATATCCACCTTGCATTAATAATGTTATTACAGCCAATGAAATCCACTCTTTCATATTTACACCTGCTGAACGTATTTACTATTTCAATACCTGCCTTGTTTCAGTAACCAGTGGTCGGCATTATTGGGTGGTAGTGCACATTGCTACTAACTCGTAAGACAACACGTTTAAACCACGGCAGATTAAGCTCGTTAGCTATGTAAAACAACCCATCGATGAATGAAATCTCCGAAATAAATAAGTAGATTAGACCTTTCAGGTGATAGGATTACCAATTCTAGTTTTATACTGGTAGCTTCTGCGAAACGAAACAACTGATACCGTGCTGTAAAGGTGGAGAGAATGTTGTAGAGAGAGAGAGAGTGCTGGTACATGGACAACAAATAGATTTTCTCTAGTTGCTGCCAATGTCCTTCGCCTTACATTTCCAAGGTGCATTCATTCAATCACCTCTTTCGTGGTTTTTTTTGTTGTTGTTTTTTGTTTTGTTTGCAAGAAGAAAGATTAATCGCATACTCCTAGATCTGAAACATTTTTGTAATCTATGTTTTCATGTTGGTCTATAGTTTTAATCTAGTGCTCTTCCATTCAATAAGAAATAAATATCTGCGGTTTCCAACAGCTATCTACAAGTCTCTATGTCCATGTGTCTTTGAGCTGGATGATAATCTATCGTTCTGTCTGTTCTCGCCTTGGTATTGGGCCTCAGTCTCAAAATAACAGCAATGATGGTGTCCAAAAACAGCGCGAGATAACTTACGCCTGAGTGGTTCTATATTGGTGGAATTTTGCCTAAAGCATGTGAGAATTAAAGCTAATGATGTTATGTGTATAGAGCTTCTACAATAGTTTACTATGTTAATTTAAATTATTTGATTATACAACACAAAAATGACATCACATATCCATCACATATGTATGTTGTGTTACTGTAAATTAAAATGTCACAGACCGTGTTAGTTGATTACAGATCTATATACAAAGTTGTTAATATGTTTCTGTGATGAGTCTCGTTACACTTGTTTATCTGACAAGTGAAGGTGCTCACACTTCAGGCCGAGTCACGTAGTAACAAAGCTCGATGAATCATTAACCCATTTGTCATAATGGGATTGAAGAGATCAGCGTTTGTTTCTGATAATAATCAACCAATGATAGCTGTATTAACACTTAATGTTTTCCGATTATTTTTGTTTTTCCTTACTTGTTGTGGAAAAAAAAAATATTTTTTAACTTTTGGAAATGTAAAGATATTAAAATATGCCTTTGATTTGAACATTTAACTTTTTCATTAATTAATATTTACCGATCCTTCAATCTTACTCGCGATTTCAGACTTGTTAGCTTGATTACTCCAATAAAATTAAAGTAAAGTTTCCCTTTCAAACCTGACGGTCTATGGGGCAAGTGAAGTAGAGTTTACTTGATTTTGTGACCTCGGCATGTGAAGAGATAATGTGGTCAGCACTATGCCCCGCCGCCTTTACTCTCCCTAACGTGAGTTAGGTACCCATCAGAGTTGATTACTCCAATACAATACAAAAATATCTGTTGTTACTCACATGAAAGGAAGAAAACAAATTGTTTTATATAGGATAAATAATTTTTAAGTCGCGAATTTCAAACACTTTTATCTAATTGTCCCATCTCCAGACCTATCAGCTCTAATCTACACCATCAACGGTCGCAGCCTACAACAAGACTCGAAAGTTTTTGAACTAAAGAACAACGAGAGTACAATCGCGTTCTGTTGCCGAGATTTGCCGTCACCTTGTAGAGCAAACATTAAACACCAACAAGAACTTGTGGCTTCTGGTGAACCTTGTGCTGTCTACAACATCAGCTCTACACATCAACAGGGGAGTTTCTATCTCACTTTGGCCTACGACATTTGTAAACAAACCAAAGAGATTAACGTCTTATTTTATTGTGGTTAGTACATCATCAACTTCACCCGTTCATGCCCAAAACACAGTAGGCTGACGTAAAGAGTTTATCTGTTTGAATGTCTTTGACATTTGAGGTTGATAGTGTGGTAAGCTCCACGTCCGGCAGTCTTTGTACTCATAAGGTACCAAGCTGGATGGGCACAAGATCGAGCTTCGGATCCGTACTCGATATTTTGCAGGTGTTTGCTCTACAATTCGATCACACGGTCCCTGTAATTAGTACATAAGATATTGTAATAAAAAATGTTTTTATTCTTGCAACAGATATAAGAATTACATAGACTTATATTATAAATTATTCCGCTATAAAATCGAAACTGGCTACTTGCCTTTAAATCGCCTTCAACCGTATTTTTCTGTTTGATGAAGTACAGTTCATCGAATTTTTTATCAAAACATATGAACAAATTGTATGGCCAGCTCTCTACCTAGCCAAATGTGCTTTCCCAAATATAAGTCAGGTACCCATCAGGGCTGGGTGAACTCAGGGATGTCTTAGAGACTCAGATTTATGATCTGAGCTCTATGCATTCAAGTTAGCCATTAAGCACTACGCCATCCAACCACGCCCCCCCCCCCCCCCAGTTTATAACAAAATTGAAAAATGTTTCATGTAGATAAATTATCTTACTTGATTACCTGCCGTGACGACAGCAATAATGTTTGAGTCAGAAAGTCGTTCCAAGAATTAATGATGTTGACCTCTAATTAATTAGTGCTAGCAGCTCTGGAAACTATTGTGTGAGAGACGCTGCTTTCAATAAACTCTTGCAGTATCCAATGCGTTATAGTATACTATTGGACCCAAACTAGAAGTTACGAGATAGTGTTTACAAGCTTTTATTTAGTTCGCAACGTCTGTTTGTTTGTTTGTGGGTTTGTGGTAGTCTTGTAATTCAATTTCAACCCACTTCTAATGCAATGATTTCATTCAAACTTTCCAGATACGTTCCACTTCAATAACAATACAAGTCTATTTTTAACTTAATTATATGTTAAACTATACATTTAAATCAGTTTAACGGTTTCGAAACTAAGGGGAGATGACAATTAAATCATTCGATATATTACTTTATTCAATAACAGAAGGGGAGATAACTAGGTAGAGGCGATAACCCAGTAGCGTAGCGAGGGGGGGGGGGGGGCGGGGGGGGACATATGTCCCCGGGCGCCGACCTTAGGGGGGGCGCCAAATTGAAAGTTTGAGGGGGGGGGTGCAAATGAAAAGTTCGAGGGGGGGGGGGTGCAAATCGAAAGTTTGAGGGGGGTGGGGTGCAAATGAAAAGTTCGAGGGGGGGGGTGCAAATCGAAAGTTTGCTCCCAAGGGGGCGCCAAATTGAAAGTATGTCCCCGGGCGCCGGGAAGGGTCGCTACGCCTCTGCGATAACCCTAACATTCTGGTGAGTTGTGGTTCATGATAATATTTACAATCGTAGAGCCGGTCAATCTAGTGAAGGCTGTTAGGGGATAATATAGTTTTTAAACGGTTTGCAACTAAGGGGAGGTAGTTAGATTATAGCAATCGTTTGATTTATCAGCTTGCTGGTGTCTGTAAATTGTGGCCAAGGACTGCTGCGTTCTGGTGAAGATAATCATCGTTTAAATATCGCGAACTAATGAGATTGTTTAAGCAAATATTTTTAATCGCGTCGAATTCATTCTTTAGGAATCACTAATTGTAAAAATAAAACAAATATAAAAAGGACGGTCATGAGATAGTTTACATATTCTAGCGACTGTAACTTTTATCAAAGAAAGGAAATTCGTTTTATTTTCTTATTTTTAGTGTTTGTTGCTATAAAGTGTTTTTTTTAATTTGTTTACTATTTGGTGTGGAATATAGGTTGGAAACACATTCATATAATATAAGGAATTATGTTCTAAATATTTATATTGCAGATCTATCAAAACTAACATTAACGGTCAACGGTCGCAGTCTACAGCAAGACTCGAATGTTTTTGAATTTCAGAACAACGAGAGTACAATCACGTTCTGTTGCCGAGATTTGCCGTCACCTTGTAGAGCAAACATTAAACACCAACAAGAACTTGTGGCTTCTGGTGAACCTTGTGCTGTCTACAACATCAGCTCTACACATCAACAGGGAAGTTTCAATCTCACTTTGGCTTATGACATTTGTTATTTGAAAAAAATGGTACAAGTGTTATTTATTTATGGTTAGTATACATTTACTTACAATTTACAGTTGTTGTTTTGTGTCATAAATGTTTCAAATATATTATAGTTGATGCATTTATAATATTTTAAGATATTCTCTATCATAAAAATTACTGATTATATTCTGGTGAAGCATTTTAAAATGAAAAAAATCGAGTTCGCATAAACTGGACGGACTCGATTCTACAGATACACTGGTTACTTATGTTATAGCTATACACGCTTACCAATAAAGGAGCTATGATGTTTATAAACCATAATACTTGACTTAATTTTAAATCATATTTTTAAAACAAGACACACCCTGGATGAGTAATTTTGTGGTTGTTACCTTGGTGATCTCAAGTAATGTGGTTTCTGCAGTTCTTATCACAGTTTGCTATTATTTCAGAGGTATTTTTTTAATTTGTAATTAGTTTTAGCACATTGTTTACTTTCTTTTTGGTACTTAATTATATTTAAAAGATTTAAGTATTTAAAAAAACCCATTTCTATAGACCGATTGCACTGAAATTATCATCTTCATACTGTTATATAAGAATATACGAATAAGTTCAGGGAAGGACACTCCGGATTTATTGAAATATTTCACATAATGTGCAATCGTGTTGATGTAGATTTATAGTGAATTTTAAAATAAGTATTATCTATACTGCTAAACAAGTAATCAAAGAACATCATATTTATGTCTATAGTCCTATCTCTCATGTTTCAGCTCACGTAAATCGGCGTGTAACACTCAATGAACCGGCTCCTACAGTACAGGAAACTGTTGAGACGTTAAACATTCAAGAGTCATATACAGGACAATACTCGATGTCCAAACCAGGACATAATATATACGAGACAGTTATAGACGATTACCCATCGTCGGCGCAACAGCCACCTTTGACTACAGCAGACGACGATTACCTAGTTATAATTGACGATGATAACTGATCAAATTCCAGAGCAGATAACTTTTATCCTGCGTTGTATATTGAAAATTAGTACATTTACACAACAGCGCTTTATAAATGAAGCCGCATCCCCATATCTGCACAACACCGCCCTTTACATTTATCCACACACCTTCATCTCAAGAAAAAAGAGCCCAAATGAATTAAGCCAAAAAAAAAACAACAATTTGACAGTTAATTATATATGAACTTTGAACAACCTAACTGAAAAGGTACATAAATTATCCTGTTCACATACAAAGACACAGACAGAATTGAACAAAATAGTATTAAACTTCTGTCCAATATTACTAAATTTTCTTTATACTTTGTGAACGAGAAAGTAAAAAGAAAATTATAACACATGTATTCTGTTATTTCACTGTGACAGACTGTATTATTTGTATTATGTTTGGAGTAAATCGTATGTGTCATTAATTTAACTGTACATCAAAAATGACTGGGTGAGCAATCAATCATCGCATATTTCATAATTTTTTGGGTATCGCACACAGACTGGATTGCGAGAGAGTGTATATAACCAGGGCGAATATGACGTTTGATAGGCCATCTAAACGAACGCAAGAGTGTATATCACCTGTGTGAATAATACTTTTGATAGGCCACCTAAGCGAATGCAAGAGTGTATATAACCTGTGTGAATACTACGTTTAATAGGCCACTTAAACGAATGCAAGAGTGTATATAACCTGGGCGAATATGACGTTTGATAGGCTACTTAAACGAACGCAAGGGGAAGCTATGTGTTTTGACTGTTAGAACTTAAAATGTATTCAATATTATTCCTGTGATTCTTATCTTGTCAATTCATGCACTTTAATTTTTAGTGCTTTATCAACTGTAAATGTGTGAGCACTGAAATGAACTGTATTCATTGCTGATTTAACTATTGTAAATAAAGTTGTGAACTGAACTAGCAGTTCATCGTCTGCTCTTTAAAAAAGAACCCATAAGAACCACTGTGTTAATCGAAATCAATTTAAATAAAAATATAAACCACTAGTATTACTTTCAATTAAAAACTTAAACCATCTAACATAGAAAAACAAATTTTTTCATAAAATTCTGTAGAAAACAACAAAATTCTGAAAAATAAACTATTGCATTGATTAACATTTATTTTAAATTGACTGTTAGTTTTTTTATCTACTTAAAACATTTTGAAAAGTAAATGCAGATTTCAAAACAATAAAGTTAATTTCTACATGACATTTCCGAAGCTTGATTCAAGTTTCACATCATCAGGAATAGCAATCTTTCATATTTTATCTCGGCAACTGCAAGGATTTTAAAATATAAATTTAGAAATTTTATATCATCTATGCCGTGAAAAAAACAGAAACAAAAAATGTTTCTTACAAAACAGCTTATATCTTTAGCAATGATGAATAATTTTTTTTTAATTTTAAGATAATGTTTATTTATTTAGTATACTAAATACTATAAATGTAATAGAAAGAAAACACTTATTACAATTTTCATGTTTTAAAGACAGTCAAACACAAAGTGAAAATGCCTCAACACATTCCGGTCTCCTTATGACAGAATGTACTGCAGACATGACTACAGTTATTTCGGCAGTCGATACCCCAATATCCATCATTGCAGTCTAAAAATAATAAGGATGCAGCTTTATACAAGAAAAATAAACATTGTGTTTAAGAACCAGCGATCCATTGTTGAGATGAATAACACTAATTCAAATTCTAATTCAATAATCTTAATTTCAAAACGGTATACGTAATAAAATATATAATGTCTAATAGCCTTTAACTTGTGACAAATATTTCATAAGGAATCTATGAATCAAACAATTTAACGCATACCTCCAAATATTTCAATTTCACAAACGTTTATGGCTACAAATGTATCCGCTGTTGAATTTACATCTTTCTCTGATATTTTGATTTTTGATACATTGCTTATCTCATCAGTTATTAAATCATATATAGATTCCGGGACCTTGTCGTCTTTGTTTTGAAATAGACTTTTTGATTGCGAATCAAACGCTTCTATAAGGAGACGCTTTGACATTAAATCCTCGTTGTCGCCTGAAATAATTTGTAAAACTGTTACAGAAAAAGTTTAGATGACTAAAGAAATAACACATTTTTAACATAAAAACTATGTAAAGAAAAAAATGATACACAAGTGAATGTTAATTCTTGTTAGACTAAATATTTCTTTTTCTATCATATTTAGTAATAAAACCATTTTTAGACTCATCAAACCTTCTTTGTCTACTGTATCTGGTTTCTATGCAACTACAATAGCCTTTAATGTAATACAATGGTCTTCCTCTTCTAACCTCCTCATGTTATTCTTTCACCCCGCCCTGCGCATTATAATGATGGACGTGATCCCAAAACGTAACAAACAGGTTTTCATTAAGCCTAATAGGCGCTGTGATCCTTAACAATATTCTCTAGCAATACATATTTTAATGCTTGAACTTTTTTCTCATAAATCTTTTGCTAGTATCTAGGTTTCGCAAACATTTAAAAAAAGAAGCGCATCAAACACAATGTTATGCTGTTCTATAAATAATAATTAAGAATATATATATATATATATATATATATATATATATATATATATATATATATATATATATATATATACAAACGTGTATTGATATAGATAATATAGCTTTACAAATTTTAATCATTCGAAATCAAAGATCCTGTTTTGCAAGAGATATTTTAATCAAGTTAGTTATGTATAAAACACGATAAGGCATATTATATTAACATTTAGTCTATACCAGTGGTTCTTAACATTTTCGATGTTTCGAACCCCCAACAGTTTAGTATGCGCATTCACCGAACCTTTCTTAAAAATTATATCATCCGCACTGATAAACCTGATCTGCAATCAGAGTCGGTTGTGTGTTTTGACCTCCGCCGAACTACCGAGACTGACACACCTAACCCCAGGTTACAAACCACAGCCCTCGATTTGTTTTCAATTATTAATCCTTTATAAATTAGATTGGACTAACCGAAAATTCTGCTGAATAGTCTAAAGTGGTTAACCGAGATAGTTTTGTCAAACTGAATTTCAATAGATGGAGCTTCTTTGTTCTCTTCCAATGGTGGATCATCATAATCACAGTTCCATAAATTGCCATCTACTTTATCCATGGTATTTTTGGAGTTAGGTTTCTGAACAATTTTTTGTTTAATTGCAAAATTTCGACCTAAAATAAAATGAAAATAATGGTGAGTTAATGGTTCAGATCGGAGATAAAATGTGGAAAATGTATATGAAATGAAATACAATATTATATATAATTATATTTTACTAATACTGAAACAAAAAAAGAACACAATTTACCTCCACTGAAATAGACAGAACACAACGTTAATAAACCGGGCCCTTTCAGAATCAACGCCGTAGCCAATTCGTTGCCTCCGCAAAATATATCTTTAATATTATTTTGGGTGTACACTTTTGCATCGGGGCATTTGAATCTTTTTGTCTTTCCTTGAAACTCCATCTCAATAGCTTTTCCTGTCCCGAGTTCTAAAAAAGGAAACAAAAAAAATTATTGAAGTTTTTAAATAGCATTGTGTTACATAGGTAATATAAAACATACGTTTACACACAATGATTTAATTTGTCTCCGTGTAATTTTTACCTGCTCTCGTAGCCAGCCTCACTAACGTCACAGGGAATTCACCGCCTAGTTCTAACGTTAAACTGTTTGATAACACTTTCGTGCAAGAGTGATCATCCCCGTCTGTTAATATGTTGCTGCTGTCATGGTTTGCTAGGAGATCCACTGCATTTAAAAGTGTTTTAGTAAGTTGCTAAGGGGTCGTCCATAAATGACGTCACACTCGCACAGGGGAGGGGGGGGGCCGTAATTTTGTGACGGTGTTTGATGAGGGGGGGGGGAATTCTGATGGTGTGATGTCACACTTTTGTATTATAAAAAAGCAATGTTTGAAAACGAGTTTTAGCAGGGTTTCTTTTGCGTTTTAGAAAACTGTTTTAATAAATTGTAATAGGAATTGATTTAAATACTCTATGTCGACAGAGTTCAGACAAGATTTTGGAAAAATATAGATGTTTTAAGAAAAATTCAACTGCAATTTTGAGGGGGGGGGGGGTTGTAGGTGTGACGTCATTTTAGGGGGTCTTGCTTTTTGTGACGATGTGTTACGGGCGGGAGGGGGGAGGTAAAAATCGTCAAAAAAGCGTGACGTCATTAATGGATGACCCCTAAAGCGTAGCGATATTTAATTAAGAAAAAATGTACGCATTGAATGTAATGGAATTGATGTGAAATAAAGAATTTCGTGCTAGCAGTTTAAATCTTCTTTACAAAAAAAGTTATGCAATTAAAGTTTTTTAGTATGGAAAGTTGAGTGAAGTTGTGTGTAGATGTAAGGAATCTGTTCTGACATTACAAGTTTCTTTATGTGGTATGTGGGTGTCAACTGTATCTCACCGTACTGACAGTATTTACCAAACCATCCCAGGGAACACTTTTCTGCTGGCCAGCAAGTGCCATTTATATAGCAGTGGTCGCCCCTACAGTTACACCTGTATCTCTTTTTCGGTCCAACCCAGGTGTAGGCTACAGAATGTATCAAAATTCAGAAATTGTTGATTCTATTTAGCATATCAAATATCAGTATAAACACGTGTTAATTAATATAGATTACAAATAAAAAAAAATTCAATACAATTTAAAATCTTTTTTTTAGTTAAAAATGAAATTTATATAGTTAAATATGTGGTTAATATGGTAAATAAACAGATGATTAAACTTATTTTAATGAAACAAATACTTTGAATATGTTCAATAAGTCCATATTTGTCAATGGTATCATTATTCGATGATTTTCGTTCGCATTCCCCAGTCTCCAGGTGGCAAGGATTCGCACAGCTCTCGTCACATTTTGCCTGACAATCCAAACCCCAACGTCCTGGAGCACACTCTAAATATAAAAAAAAAATTTACGTTTTAGGTAAGACTTTCGGAAATGAACATACTAGAATTAATTAGTATAAAAATAACATTTTAGAAAGCATTGATTCGAAATAAAGTTTTCTAACTGAATCAAGCAATTGATTCTCATGCATCTATTTCTACATTTTAATTGCTTCTTTATTGATATTTCTGTATCGCTTTTGTTAATACTGGCAAATGTGAAAAAAAGCTACAATACCTATGAGTGTCACCATGAAAAAATGTTAGTGTTGTTATTACTATTATTGTTTGTATTATTATTTTGTTATCATTATTATTATTTTTAAAACAATCTTTATAATTTTAAATATAAATATAATTAATATAAATTATGTAATAATTACAATTATTATTATTATTATTATTATTATTATTATTATTATTATTATTATTATTATTATTATTATTATTATTATTATTATTATCATTTTAGAATTATTAAAAATTATTAGCACTAGTAGAATTATTAGAATTTTTAAAATTATTAGAATTATTAAGTTTATTGGAACTATTAATATGATTTGAATGATTAGAATAATTAGAATTATTAGAATTGTTAGAACTATTAGAGTTATTAGAATTATTTGGAATTATAAGATCTTTTAGAATTATTAGAATTATCATAACTACCGTAATTAACATAATTATTATAATTGTAATAAATATTATCATTATTATTTTTATTAATATTATTATTTTTATTACTATTAGTATTACTACTTCTACTACTACTACTACTACTACTACTACTACTACTACTAGTAGTAGTAGTACTAGTAGTAGTAGTAGTAGTATGGCTGATCAAATAAAAATTAAGGTGCACTGTGTCCATGTGGTAAGTCCACATCATATCGATATCTCTTGGTTTATTTATAGATTGTTCTGCTGTATGAATATTTTCCTATTTCTTAACACGCTTATATAATGTAAACATACTTCAATGGACGCTTGATCTAGCAGTAAAATAAGCGTTTGCTAACTCGAAAGTAAAAAGTTCTTAAACGATCGGGAGTCTTTAGGTTGTCCCCTAATCAAACAGTATCTAATTTCCATTCCACGCAATGCGCTAAGAGAGTTAAAAAACACCTCATGGAAACGGAAAAACGGCTGATAGTCTACATGTAAGGTTCAACCCGCACTAGCAGAGTCAGTAAAGCAAAATGACATAAACCAACAAACCTAGTAGGAATGTTTTGCGTATGGAGTGGAAAAGAAATTCATAAAAAATGTTTTAATAGCAAGCTTTTATGTAATGATTCACTAAAAAGAGAAAATAAATGATTTTCTTTAAATATGCAATAAAACACTACTATTTAAATTGCTATAAAGAAAAGCACCAGTCACTTTATTATATATTGGATACCTTTACTAATATTTAGGAAGATACCCACGCTTTTCTGGATAGTTATTTAAATAGTAGTGTTTTATTATATACTTAAAGAAAATCATTTATTTTTTTACTTTTTAGTGCTTTTTACATACAAGCTTGTTATTAATTTTTTTTTTAATGAATTTTTTTCCCCGTACTTTAATTTTTTTTAATTTACAATAAAGTTGCATGATTAAAAACTATAGCACACATAAGGAACATAATAACTCGCGTTTAATAATGCGGAATAGTTGGAAAACCTGCCTACTATTTGGACACAATTTTAATTCATTCATAAAAAATGAATTAATTAATTAGGCATCCAATTAAGTCACATTTAATGTCACTTTTTGTCTTCATTTACGTGCTAACTTTGAAACGAATGTCAGTTAGAATTGCTTGAAATTTCGCTCTAGTGTTTCGATATATGACGACAGACTGAAGACAGACTGGCCGAGGAAGCAAGTTAAATTAAAGGTTGTAAAAAGTTGAACAAAAAATGGTGTAAAACGCGTTATAAAAGAATTGTATATGGTGTACAATTTCTGCCGGCAGACGGGTATCTAACATGTAGTACGAACAAAAATTGGTTTTATTGCAACGAGTGCTTAACGATGTATTATTTTCTCAATTAAATTGATGTGCTTATTAACGCCCACAAAAGCCACATTTACTACTCGTTTATGTCTGTTTCCCTGCCTCTTTAACACAGGGCTGACGGCACTTGCATTTAATTTTCATTTAATTTTAACCTATATTTAACTAATATCAATCAAAACCACATAACCATATGTTTATTTTAATTTAATTTAAATTATTCCTGCTTGTAAACCTTTTCGGTAGCATTGCCCTGTCTCCAGGTCACAAGGCTTACTGCATAAGCTGTCACATTTTTTCTGACAAGTCGGGCCCCAGAATCCATGAGGACAGGCTGAAAAAAAATGGTTCACTATTTATTTTAAAATGTACATATTGTTTAGAGAATACGACTAAACAAACGCTAAAGAAAATATTAAAGAAAGTGTGGACGATTAATAATTGTACCAGATCCACTATCAATGTATTTTACATGCACTGCGAAATAAAGTATGTTTGCAGCTTTCTTACTATTATTTTAATTTCGCCCTAGATGAGTAAATAACGTTCTTATAAATTGAGATATATTATATACTATTAGAAGTTGGTTAAGTTTTCTTAAACATCACAATTTTAAAGGTTGAATTAGGTAAGAAAAACTAAATAATACAATACAAGACGATCATATTTAAGTTCCTTGTACGGAAAACAATAACATGTATTCTTTATACAAAAATAGCAGGCCTATTTTATGATATATATACATACTTACATACATATATATATATATATATATATATATATATATATATATATATATATATATATATATATATATATATATATATATATACTAAAATTAAATATAACGTTATGCCGAAAAAGAAACATAACTGGCTTTTCTTTTAATATAGATAACTTTGTGCATACCTTTTATGGTGCATGTTCCTGTCTCCGTATCACAACCATTAGAGCAACCATTGTCACATTGCTTTTGACAATCTAATCCCCATTTTCCATTTGAGCAATCTGAATATAAATATGATTGTAAATCTTCTATGTTTCTTCGAGAAAATGATAAATTAAATGTTTAAAAAAAAATTCACATAATGTGGTCTAGAAGTAGAGAAAACGATGAAATATTTAAGAGATTTGTTCTGGGACTCGATTTTATATTATATCTAAAATAACAGACTTGGCTTGAGTAGGGCCGCGGAGTATAGTTGATGGCACTATAGATAAATATGGACTGGTCAAACAAATACGTTATTCTTAGTCTACCTGCAACGATGACCATCACTTTTGAATACGAGGAATGTCTAAATCAGATTACTTTACGCTAGAATGTTTTATCAACACGGTGAATAGCAATTCCTTGCTTGTTTTCACCTTTTCTTTTATTTTATTTGTACATTAGAAGAATAATGTTGACGATGTTTAAATATTTATCAAATTCAAAGCCGTTAAATATGTTTTGCCTAAATTTACGAACCAATCCATTCAATTTTTTTTTGCATTTATTCATTTACTCATATAGTAAGATGATTGATTCAATACAGAATGATGTACAATTGGTTCAGTGTATCGTTCAGATATAATTCTCACAGGGCGATGTGACAGACAGTGATTTAAAAAAAATAATTATGTTTTAATTATTTACTCTTTCTATTTCGACCGAGGTGAGATGGATATGCTACGCGGATTGCGTAATGGGATGGGCTGTTCCTGAAATACCCTTTGAGTTACAGGGTGTTGAACTCAGCGAGTAAAGTACAAAACGATATAACATTTTTCATGTAACTGTGCAACCATTTTAATAATGAACATCCAGCAAACCCGCGGAATTTACAATGCATTCCATAAAAATAATGTTCACATGTATACCTTTTCGGAAACATTGTCCAGTCTCCTTATGGCAAGGTTTACTACAACCGCTGTCGCATTGTTGCTGACACTCCAAACCCCAAAATCCGTCGGGGCAGTCTGAATATAATTAAAAGTGGTTTAAGCTTAACACATTCCTGGCTAAACAACACAATTGATTTTAAAAGTATAACACAAAATGTACTAAGAGGCAAATAAATCTACTCGGAAAATCTAAAACGAATTTTTTTTTCTAGATTTCGGTACCAGGAATCAAGTATAGGATGTCATTGAATTTAATTTGTTCATGTTTGTTTCTGGCAAGGTAAAGAAAGAGAAAATGGCAAGAAAAAAACTGAGTAGACTATCTATGCATACGCCGAGGTCTCAGAAACAGGTTAATCTTTAACTCAACTGCTTAAATGACCGTTTTTTTGTGTTTATTAAGTAGCATAAACACAACATTGCCCGGGTTTAGGAAATATACTACTTTCCAATTAAACATCAATCTGCAAATATGAACGTTTGAGAAAATAAATTATAACCATAAAACTAACTCTAACTCTAAACTTAACTCTAACAGCAACCAAAGACGACCAAAAATTAAACACAAACATAAATAAGCTAACACGTAACGCCAATACAAAAAAAAACGCAAAAACAAACACAAATTAACGCAAACACAAACGCAAATCAAAATACATACACAAACAAATACGCAAACAATTCTGAAACGCAACTATAACGAAAACACAAATGCAAATCAAAATATAAATACAAAGAAATACACAAATACATTAACAAACGCAATAACGCAAACACAAATGCAAACTATAAACAAAAACAAACAAAAATGCATTCACAATCAGAAACGCAAAAATAACAAGCGAACATCACGCTAATACAAACGCAAAACACATACGCAAACACGAAAGCAAACGCAAACATAAAAGTAAAGCAAACAAAAACACAATCGCAAGCATAAAAACAAACTTAATTATTTATATTTTTCTTGGAAGTCATAAATATAATTGGTACAAATGGACATAATTTGCATTATTATATTCAAACAAATATGATATTTTTATAAAGAGTAATAGATTTAGTATAATTGTGCTTTTTTGCACCTTATTGTAATCGAAATGATAAGTTATAAAATGAAAATTTAGTTTGAAAATGATTAATATTGTGATTTTTAAATATCAGTTCGGCGAGTAAAGTACAAATTGGTATAACATTTTTCATGTCATCTGTTAGTACGTGTTTTTTTTTCTATAACTTCCCAGTAGATCAACTGGATAAGCAAAGTTAGAACGCCATTGGAGCACCAGCTAGTACACACACTCACACTCGCGCATTATCTTACACACTTATATATATATATATATATATATATATATATATATAAAGCAATGTATGTTTGTGTGTGTGTCTGTGTCTGTGTGTGTGTTTGTCTGTTTGTCCTTTATGCATTACTACACCTCTCATCACATCGCCGTGAAACTTTGGGAAGTTGTTGAGAATATTCCTGGGGAGGTTTCTGCGAAAAAAAATTTCAAATTCGCAGGGGTGGCGCCCCGACAGGGCGCGATTGTTTTTTTCTATATACGGTATTTAAAAATAATATATATATATATATATATATATATATATATATATATATATATATATATATATATATATATATATATACGAAAACTTACACGAAACACATATTCACATGCTCACGCTCATTTACACCAATATGTGAAAAACAATTACCACAACCTTGCCACGAAGACACTCATTCCATTTTAGTTTTATATACTAGTTAATACTTATTTATTTTTCTCAGCGCATATTACCATTGTTTTATGATTACTCTTATTGCTGTAGTTTTATAGTAATCACTATTTTAGGCAAATGGTGATAAGCAATTAAATTAAAAATATACTCAAACCTGTTGTTAAGGCCTACCTCCAAATACCTCAATTTCACAAATCATAAGAATGGGTGTCTTATCAACTGATATTGGAGGGCTGGTCTGTTTAACTTGAATAGCAGAAACAGTTTTTATCTTTCCAAAGTCGATACTATATACAGCTTGTGTCGGGCCTTTATCAATATATACCTGCTCTTGTTTGTTATTCGAATCAATTGTTTCCAAAACAAAGCCCTTCAATCGATCACTTAATTCGACAACCTTGTTTTTGGCTGAAACATAAATCCAAGGCTAAAGAAATGTAAGTTCACTAACGAATAATGTAATATTTACTTGCTAAGTCTATGTGAATAGCAAAATACGATAGCATGCTTGTATTTTTATACAGTAGGAAAATTAAACAATTTCTATTTTATAACAGTATAAACTAAATGTATGATGTTAAAATTTATAAAAAATATAGCACTATAGCACAATGAATATGTTACAGATTTTCATAATATCAACAATAATATCAACAATAATATCGAGTTTTTGTGTTTGTGAATGTGTTTAAAAAGAGGTTGTTGAAAGTCGCTGTTATTTCAATCATTACTAGAAAAATATGTGTACACAAATTAAATGCGGAAATTTAGAGACACATTTTGATATAATTGCAAAAAATAATGATGCTTCATATTGTTACATATTTCACATAACTCTGAACTGTCTTCGTCAACACATGTTCTTAGCGTTACATTGTTCAAAGTGGATGAATTAATCAACATTGTACGAAATGTAAATAAGCGTCCCAATAATTTTGATGCGCCAAGTATAGCGTCTTACTTGTTTGTATTTAAATAATACAGATTTAGAAAACAAAGTCACGCATCTAAAACTTCACGATTGGTAACGCATATCTGGAATCATCTTAAAATATTGCTTACATCCTTCTTCTGTATTTTAATCTGTATTTTAAATTTTAAGTCAACATCTAAATCAAAGAAGACCAATTTTTCTAAAAATCTTAGTGAAAAGTGTATGAAACCTACCATCGACTTTGTTATACAGCTTGACACGGCTTACCGAGACTGGTTTATCAAACGTAACTTTAAATGACGGGGTTTTGTCTTGGTCTGAAGTTTGTGTAAATGACCTTTCGCATTGCTTTTTATCCCCGTCAACAGCCAACGATGCCTTGAAATTAGCATGAGTACTTGACAGTACTGCTATTTGATTCAATGCTAAATTTCGTCCTGTTACATGGAATTTAGAACATAAGATCAGTTTTTTAGGTAAAATGTATATAAATCGTTGAAAAATTTACTTTTAAATATACGGGTCTTTACTACAAGCTGAATGGTAATTCTAAAACAAGGTGTCGAACCGTGAAGATAAACATTTATATAGTTTAAAACAAGTTTAAAACAAGTACAATGATGTGTTTGAATTCTCCTAATTTCTCTAAGTAAAACTTTTTTTTTCTAATTTAAGAAACCCAACTTGACACAACAGTTTGTCATCAGAATCACTCTATGTTTGAAAAAAACAACAACTTAACATTAGGCCTTACAGTCAATTGCCCTCAAAAGGAAAATATCAACTGGTCTTTCACCAAACTTAATTATCACAAGACAAAGCTTATTGCTTCATCTGTTTCTCATTATTTTCTTGACAATGCAAATGAATGGATTATGCTTGAATGTTGCAGTAGCATTCATGTTAGTGCTCAATTTAAAAAAAAAATACAAAAATAATGATAAATAGAACATTTTATTTTAGCAGATTATAAAACAATAGTAAAATAAAAAAAAGTTCTCAACTCATGCATACATGTACATTAAGTAACAAACAAATTTGTAAAAATTAGTTCTTTTTTATACAAAAATTTTCAAAAATAAAATCACTCCCCTTAGAGTCATATTAGTTAACACTACTTTTTTTTTAAAAATATACCAACTATTTTCCTTTTTATTTCGTTTTTTCAAATATAGCTATAGGTAATGCCTTTGATCATATATCGTTAATTATTATAAAATATTCATTAAATCTAAATATTCGTATCATACAATTAGAAATAACTCAGCGCGATTGAATCAGATTCGGCATGTAATTAAGTAATTATTGCTTTTGATAATTATGCAATTTGTTTTACTGGCTAATTTCTTTTGTATTAGCTTTTTTTTGCAGAAAATGATCTGTGAACTAAAATTATTAAATTAATGGTAAAAATAAAAAATAAGAGCGATGTAGAATGTATAGCTTGCGATGATTCTTGTGCAAGAATAAAACAATTATAATGTGTTAATGTTAATCTTCATATTCCCTGGTGGAGAAGGCAAGCTCGACAAGATACAATTTTCTGAAGTAAAATAGAGGACAAAGACCAGTGGGTCGATAAATCTCATGGTTGTTAAATCAAAACCCCAGTCAGAAAATGCCTTGTAATTTGATGTTGGATGGTCAATGGCTATGCAAACAAATCCAAAATTGACAGAAAACTGAAATATGAGTAAATGACGTAAATCACGAATTACACTTTTTGGAAAAAATGGACCACAATTCCAACGTTACAATTAAGATTGAAATAAAAAAATTTAAAAAAAATTGAACACACCTCCACTGAAATAGACGGAGCATAGATCGCGTGTGTCTTCATCGGATATTTTGACGACATCAGCTTTTACTTGAGTTTCACAGAAGTAATCCCGAATGTTTTCCCTCACGTCATACACTACTGTACTACATCCAAGAAATGGGTTCAATCCAGGGCGAGTTTTATTATCTAATTGAACGAAATTTTTAAAATGAGTTTTCATTCAGTTAACATTCTTTTTAAGAAAAAATCCCGAATAAAAAAATTGAAGAATCATTTCAAAATTGTTAAACTATTAGATAAATTTATCATTAAAAATATACTAAGATTGACGCGTGGGTTATAAAAAGTGACTACCTTTTTTGTAAACCAAACGTATAAACGATGGTGTATAAATATTTCCAAGACACAAAGTCACATTTTTAACTGTTGTGTCCAGACACGTGTCATCATTGCCGTCTGTTAGTATGTGATTGTTTTTGTAACTTCCCAGTATATCAACTGGATAAACAATGTAAGAAAAGCGTGTGATTACAGGTCTTAGGTGCTTTGACCACAGGTGCTTTGACCATAAGGGGCTTTGTCCACTGCGGGACTTTGATAACAGATGGGCTTTGACCATAGGAGGTTTGACCACAGTGGGGCTTTGACCACAGATGGTGGTTAACCATAATATATCTATATATATATAATTCTCTTCTTGGAGACGTTAGAAAACACCAAGCTGTAAGCGCGCCTAGCAGTTCCCTCTCTTCCTGTCAAGGCATATCTCAACCAACCCCACCCCCACATGGTCTGGTGAGCTGTGGTTCACACTAAATGTTTACAATCGTAAAGCCGAGTTTTAAATTTTAAAATAGAAATAAGAAATTGTTATTTGATTTAAATTTATTATACAATTCATACGATTTTATACATGTTTTATGAGAGTCCATTAATTGAAATTAACATGTACTAAAAAAGTCAATAACGATATCTTAGTTTGACTATGTCAGTACATCTGTTTGACCATATGTCTGAACAGCACGTTGCACTTTTTCGTGCAGCATCCTGTATTGCTTCTCAGCTGGGTAGCTTGCTCCTGCGAAACCTTTCAAGAAAGTTGTCTCTGCCGTGTGCAATACATCTGTAGACCTTCAATGAAATGCCACATTGTTGGGTGACTACATTGGAAGAGAGACTGAAGACTGTAATCCCATCCTTTACAAATGATATTTGTTCGTGCTACACCATCGCCAATAGTGTGTGTTTGATTCCAATTTTTTAAATTAATCCGTACCATATATGGACAAAGCTCTTGTTATCAAACGCCCGCATTGGACAAACCACCTGTGATCAAAGACCCTGTGCTGAGAAAACACCTGTGGTCAAACCACCTATGGTCAAAAGTCCGCGCACCTGAGTACAAACCAGTACACACACAATAAGCAGACTATCACTCTAGCATGAACTTACACCCACCCACCCACCCACACACACATATATATATATATATATATATATATATATATATATATATATATGTTTATATATATATATATATATATATATATATATATATATATATATATATATATATATAATAAGTAAGTGTAAATTTGCGTGCATATATATATATATATATATATATATATATATATATATATATATATATATATATATATATATATATATATATATATATATATATATATATAAATCAAAGCGGAAACAAATTAAAAAATCTAATTTGATTAAGTGGATTTTCGAAACTGGCATATTTTTTTAAAACAAATACATACCGTATTGACATCTGTTACCAAACCATCCAAGTTTACATTTAAATCCAGGTTTACATTGACCATCTAACTCACATTTTCTGTTCTCACAATGACAATCATATTGGTTTTTTTCACCAAATGAGGTTTTATCTGCAAATGCATTTGTCACTTTTCATTTTTATTTTCAAATTAAATATTCTGAGGGGTTTTTTGTTGTTGTATGTACTTGTATAGTTGTATAGTTCCCGTTAGGGCCGGCGCTATCTATAGGGCCAACTAGGCGGTCGCCTAGGGCGCTGTCCGTAGGGGGGCGCAAAAATAGGTTTGAAAAAGAAATTGAAAGTTTGTGGGGGGGGGGGGTGCAAATCGAAAGTTTGAGGGGGCTGGGAGTGCAAATTGAAAGTTTGAAGGAGGGGGCGCTTTTAAGAAGTTTTGCCTAGGGCGCTAAATAACATGGCGCCGGCACTGGTTCCCGTCACGCACTACTGCGATCCAAGTGTAAGCATAATTCAAAGAAACTCTTTTAATTAACACTCAAGTTACATTTTGTCTTATTTGAAGAAAATTAATATTCATTTATTTCAGAAAATATTTCAAAGCGTCGTTTATGATTTTTATTTACTCCAGCGTTTGTTAAAACCCAACCCATATGTCGATGTAAAAACTCTCCTACATGCCAAACTGGCTTTACTTTTTAAAGCGGGTTTTTAAACGTGTTAATAATACTGTATTTTTAGTTGTGTCAACTTGCATTAAGAGATTAATTTTTAAAAAATATGGATCAATATCTTGTTTGTATAACGAAAAGGGGCCTACCTTCACATTTTCCAGTTTCCTTGTGACAGGCTTTAGTGCAAAGGCCGCTACATTTTTGACAGTCTAAACCCCAAAAGCCATCATCACAGTCTGTAATTTTATAAAATCAGTTATCTAAAGCTATTTAAAATTATATATGTATGTATATATATATATATATATATATATATATATATATATATATATATATATATATATATATATATATATATATATATATATATATATATATATATATAATGCATATTTGATAAAAGAGTTCATATTTTCTAACATTTCTTCAATTTGAAAATAAAAATCGAACACGTGTCTAATCAGAACTTCTTGAACTTACCACCAAACGCTTCCAACTCACACACACTAAGAATCGGTATAGTATCTTTTGCCTTGGGTTCTTCTTTCTGTTTTATCTCAATTTTTGAAACCCCTTTTAGTAATTGAACGTTTAGACCATAAATAATCTGGACTTCACTGTTTTCTTTGTAGTTAAAGAGACGATTTGAAGAGGAATCAAATATTGCTAATTCGAAGCCTTTTAAACCTAGTGCGTTATTTGAAATAATAAATGTATATTTTTTTTTAAAATATATAGAATCATTGGTCTATTGTAAAAAAAATCTTTAAAAAAAATAACACAAGATTATAATACGTAACGTAATGTAGCGTAACGTAACGTAACGTAATGTAAAGTAAAGTAACGTAACGTAACGTAACGTAACGTAACGTAACGTAACGTAACGTAACGTAACGTAACGTAACGTAACGTAACGTAACGTAACGTAACGTAACGTAACGTAACGTAACGTAACGTAACGTAACGTAACGTAACGTAACGTAACGTAACGTAACGTAACGTAACGTAACGTAACGTAACGTAACGTAACGTAACGTAACGTAACGTAACGTAACGTAACGTAACGTAACGTAACGTAACGTAACGTAACGTAACGTAACGTAACGTAACGTAACGTAACGTAACGTAACGTAACGTAACGTAACGTAACGTAACGTAACGTAACGTAACGTAACGTAACGTAACGTAACGTAACGTAACGTAACGTAACGTAACGTAACGTAACTTAAAGTAAAGTAACGTAATGTAACGTAACGTAACGTAACCTAACCTAACCTAACCTAACCTAACCTAACCTAACCTAACCTAACCTAACCTAACCTAACCTAACCTAACCTAACCTAACCTAACCTAACCTAACCTAACCTAACCTAACCTAACCTAACCTAACCTAACCTAACCTAACCTAACCTAACCTAACCTAACCTAACCTAACCATAGTTATAACCCTAATCCTAGCCCTACCCTCCCCAACCTAACCCAACCCAACCCAAACTAACAGAACCGAACATAAATGTATCAAACCGAACAAAACAGAACAGAATAGAACACATATGTTTACGTTCCCCTGAGGTTGGTGCTTCTGACCTGATTTGATAGGTTTGATAAGCTCAACTGAGGTTGGACATGACCTGATTTGATAGGTTGGTATGTGAGCTTAAGCTCACCTGAGATTAAACCTGACCTGAGTTGATAGGCTGGTATGTGACCTTAAGCTCACCTGAGGTTGGACGTGGCCTGAGTTGATAGGTTGGTATGGGACCTTAAGCTCACCTGAAGTTGGACCTGACCTGAGTTGATAGGTTGGTATGTGACCTTAAGCTCACCTGAGATTAAACCTGACCTGAGTTGATAGGTTGGTATGTGACCTTAAGCTCACCTGAGGTTGAACTTGACCTGAGTTGATAAGCTGGTATGTGACCTTAAGCTCACCTGAGATTAAACCTGACCTGAGTTGATAGGTTGGTATGTGACCTTAAGCTCACCTGATGTTGAACCTGACCTGAGTTGATAGGTTGGTATGTGACCTTAAGCTCACCTGAGGTTGGACCTGACCTGAGTTGATAGGTTGGTATGTGACCCTAAGCTCACCTGGGGTTGGACCTGACCTGAGTTGATAGGTTGGTATGTGACCTTAAGCTCACCTGATGTTGAACCTGACCTGAGTTGATAGGTTGGTATGTGACCTTAAGCTCACCTGAGGTTGGACCTGACCTGAGTTGATAGGTTGGTATGTGACCCTAAGCTCACCTGAGGTTGGACGTGGCCTGAGTTGATAGGTTGGTATGTGACCTTAAGCTCACCTGAGATTAAACCTGACCTGAGTTGATAGGTTGGTATGAGACCTTAAGCTCACCTGAGATTAAACCTGACCTGAGTTGATAGGTTGGTATGTGACCTTAAGCTCACCTGAGATTAAACCTGACCTGAGTTGATAGGTTGGTATGTGACCTTAAGTTCACCTGAAGTTGGACCTGACCTGAGTTGATAGGTTGGTATGTGACCTTAAGCTCACCTGAGATTAAACCTGACCTGAGTTGATAGGTTGGTATGTGACCTTAAGCTCACCTGAGGTTGAACTTGACCTGAGTTGATAAGCTGGTATGTGACCTTAAGCTCACCTGATGTTGAACATGACCTGAGTTGATAGGTTGGTATGTGACCTTAAGCTCACCTGATGTTGAACCTGACCTGAGTTGATAGGTTGGTATGTGACCTTAAGCTCACCTGAGGTTGGACCTGACCTGAGTTGATCGGTTGGTATGTGACCTTAAGCTCACCTGAGGTTGGACCTGACCTGAGTTGATAGGTTGGTATGTGACCTTAAGCTCACCTGAGGTTGGACGTGGCCTGAGTTGATAGGTTGGTATGTGACCTTAAGCTCACCTGATGTTGAACCTGACCTGAGTTGATAGGTTGGTATGTGACCTTAAGCTCACCTGATGTTGAACCTGACCTGAGTTGATAGGTTGGTATGTGACCTTAAGCTCACCTGAGGTTGGACCTGACCTGAGTTGATAGGTTGGTATGTGACCCTAAGCTCACCTGAGGTTGGACGTGGCTGAGTTGATAGGTTGGTATGTGACCTTAAGCTCACCTGAGATTAAACCTGACCTGAGTTGATAGGTTGGTATGTGACCTTAAGCTGAGGTTGGACCTGACCTGAGTTGATAGGTTGGTATGTGACCTTAAGCTCACCTGAGATTAAACCTGACCTGAGTTGATAGGTTGGTATGTGACCTTAAGCTCACCTGAGATTAAACCTGACCTGAGTTGATAGGTTGGTATGTGACCTTAAGCTCACCTGAAGTTGGACCTGACCTGAGTTGATAGGTTGGTATGTGACCTTAAGCTCACCTGAGATTAAACCTGACCTGAGTTGATAGGTTGGTATGTGACCTTAAGCTCACCTGAGATTGAACTTGACCTGAGTTGATAAGCTGGTATGTGACCTTAAGCTCACCTGATGTTAAACCTGACCTGAGTTGATAGGTTGGTATGTGACCTTAAGCGTACGTGATGTTGAACCTGACCTGAGTTGATAGGTTGGTATGTGACCTTAAGCTCACCTGAGGTTGGACCTGACCTGAGTTGATAGGTTGGTATGTGACCCTAAGCTCACCTGAGGTTGGACGTGGCCTGAGTTGATAGGTTGGTATGTGACCTTAAGCTCACCTGAGGTTGGACCAGACCTGAGTTGATAGGTTGGTATGTGACCCTAAGCTCACCTGAGGTTGGACGTGGCCTGAGTTGATAGGTTGGTATGTGACCTTAAGCTCACCTGAGGTTTGACCTGACCTGAATTGATAGGTTGGTATGTGACCTTAAGCTCACCTGATGTTGAACCTGACCTGAGTTGATAGGTTGGTATGTGACCTTAAGCTCACCTGAGGTTGGACCTGACCTGAGTTGATAGGTTGGTATGTGACCCTATGCTCACCTGAGGTTGGACGTGGCCTGAGTTGATAAGCTGGTATGTGACCTTAAGCTCACCTGAGATTAAACCTGACCTGAGTTGATAGGTTGGTATGTGACCTTAAGCTGAGGTTGGACCTGACCTGAGTTGATAGGTTGGTATGTGAGCTTAAGCTCACCTGAGATTAAACCTGACCTGAGTTGATAGGTTGGTATGTGACCTTAAGCTCACCTGAAGTTGGACCTTACCTGAGTTGATAGGTTGGTATGTGACCTTAAGCTCACCTGAGATTAAACCTGACCTGAGTTGATAGGTTGGTATGTGACCTTAAGCTCACCTGAAGTTGGACCTGACCTGAGTTGATAGGTTGGTATGTGACCTTAAGCTCACCTGAGATTAAACCTGACCTGAGTTGATAGGTTGGTATGTGACCTTAAGCTCACCTGAGGTTGAACTTGACCTGAGTTGATAAGCTGGTATGTGACCTTAAGCTCACCTGAGATTAAACCTGACCTGAGTTGATAGGTTGGTATGTGACCTTAAGCTCACCTGATGTTGAACCTGACCTGAGTTGATAGGTTGGTATGTGACCTTAAGCTCACCTGAGGTTGGACCTGACCTGAGTTGATAGGTTGGTATGTGACCCTAAGCTCACCTGGGGTTGGACGTGGCCTGAGTTGATAGGCTGGTATGTGACCTTAAGCTCACCTGAGGTTGGACGTGGCCTGAGTTGATAGGTTGGTATGTGACCTTAAGCTCACCTGATGTTGAACCTGACCTGAGTTGATAGGTTGGTATGTGACCTTAAGCTCACCTGATGTTGAACCTGACCTGAGTTGATAGGTTGGTATGTGACCTTAAGCTCACCTGAGGTTGGACCTGACCTGAGTTGATAGGTTGGTATGTGACCCTAAGCTCACCTGAGGTTGGACGTGGCCTGAGTTGATAGGTTGGTATGTGACCTTAAGCTCACCTGAGATTAAACCTGACCTGAGTTGATAGGCTGGTATGTGACCTTAAGCTCACCTGAGATTAAACCTGACCTGAGTTGATAAGCTGGTATGTGACCTTAAGCTCACCTGAGATTAAACCTGACCTGAGTTGATAGGTTGGTATGTGACCTTAAGCTCACCTGAGGTTGGACCTGACCTGAGTTGATAGGTTGGTATGTGACCCTAAGCTCACCTGGGGTTGGACGTGGCCTGAGTTGATATGCTGGTATGTGACCTTAAGCTCACCTGAGGTTGGACGTGGCCTGAGTTGATAGGTTGGTATGTGACCTTAAGCTCACCTGATGTTGAACCTGACCTGAGTTTATAGGTTGGTATGTGACCTTAAGCTCACCGGATGTTGAACCTGACCTGAGTTGTTAGTTTGGTATGTGACCTTAAGCTCACCTGAGGTTGGACCTGACGTGAGTTGATAGGTTGGTATGTGACCCTAAGCTCACCTGAGGTTGGACGTGGCCTGAGTTGATAGGTTGGTATGTGACCTTAAGCTCACCTGAGATTAAACCTGACCTGAGTTGATAGGTTGGTATGAGACCTTAAGCTCACCTGAGATTAAACCTGACCTGAGTTGATAGGTTGGTATGTGACCTTAAGCTCACCTGAGATTAAACCTGACCTGAGTTGATAGGTTGGTATGTGACCTTAAGTTCACCTGAAGTTGGACCTGACCTGAGTTGATAGGTTGGTATGTGACCTTAAGCTCACCTGAGATTAAACCTGACCTGAGTTGATAGGTTGGTATGTGACCTTAAGCTCACCTG